TTGTATCACGTCAGTTGATGGTATTATAGTCTGGTTATTGATCTGATTGGTCAATTATGTCGCGATGTTATTGGTCGTCTATCAGTTAAGCCCTGATGTTATTGGCTATGAAGACTCGTAATCAGTGATTGGTGCGTTTCGATCCGTCTATTGTCACAGTTAAACAGTCGTCTGTTGTTAGTCAAATTGTCAGTTCTCCAGTTGTCCTCTCGTAGTTAGTTTTGCTTGATCAAACCAGTCTCCTAGAGTATTCAGAAGAGTGGTTGGACTATCAGACTTCAGGTTTTAAGTCCTGTGCACTGACCATTTGGCTATACTAATCCTTAAATGATAACGGTCTTTTGCTTGTCACTCACAAAGATTGAGGGGGATAGGAGTTACTTGTGATGGGCAATCCAGGGCTGTCATTAAGAGCCGGGGACTGGGGATTTCCCCCAGCTACTATGAGTGTGGTCCCCGGCTACTTTTATTGGAAAATAGAAGAAAAATAGAACCCAAAGAAATTCCTTTCTGTTTGATTCCTCACCTTCTTGTTGTATTTACCTGGCGACTTGAAATTTTAGTGACAACCCTGGCAATCTCATACATGTACTCATTTCATTCACTTAAAATTGCTGATCATGGCAGTATACAGAATGTGTACAATACGTGAATTTCATTTTGCTTATGCAGACACTGTTCTTCTTATTGAATGATTGTGGCCATAATAATGCCTCACTTACAATGCCACTTCCTGGTTTTATTTATTTAACAGCGTAAGCAAAGAATAGTCTGTGCTGCAGACATGATCTAACCTTGAATAGTAACCTAGCTATCAATGAGATCCTTGTTCTGGGGCCTCCAACAGACTCAATGAATTATCAGAAGTGCATTTTGAATTTCCCTTCAACCTGATAGGCAAATCAAATAATGGCTGCTTTTTTAGCAGGCCAATCGTGGCATGTGCTCAAATCCTGGTACAAAGATGCAGTGGGCCTAGAACAAGGATTTCGGCACTGTTTTGCAGACATTGAGGCATGTGTGGAAAAGTGGTTAACACATTGAACTCTGGATCTGGAGGTCCGCGGTTCAAGCCTTGACTGTCGAGTTGTTTCCTTAGACAAGGAACTTTACTCCAATTGTGTCTCTTCACCCAGGTGTATAGGTACCCGCAACATACTGCTGGGGGTACCCCTGCAATGGAGTAGCATCCCGTCCAGGGGGGAGTAGCAATACTCTTAGGCATGCTTCATGTTAAAGAAATCGGGATGAGATCTGGCTTTTTGGGCCTTTGGCTCATGTGCACCTTACCTTTTACCTTTACCGTGCAGACAGACTTAGCCAAATCAGAGGTTTAGTTTCATCTGTGGCATAGGCTAGCAAAGTATTGCTCTCAATAACAAAAGAATTGCATGACAACTGCCCTTCAAAATGTGCTGCGGAAAATTATATTACCCAAAGTAAGTGGTAAAACAGCAGTTTACCTGTAATGCTGAAAAATAAAGCCTCCCCAAAAAGCAGTTATCACTTTTTAATTTTACTGTAAACACGATGTAAGATATCAGGAGTTGTACACGGATAAAAAGGTGAGCTTTTGATTTGGATGGAATAACTGCATGTTCTTCTAAATCTTGGCTTGACTATTCAAGCAGACTTAAGCCTCTGCTTCTCTGTTAATGAAACCAGACCTCTACAAGGTAAAAAGTACCCAGTTATAAAATGGCAGTTAGTCTGAAAACAACCATGGAAATGTCTTGATGCAACTCTATGTTATTCATACCAATAAATCAGCAAAATCTGATAATGATAATGCCCAGTAATAACTGAAGGGCTCTATGCAAAAACATGCCCTCCTAAAAGGAAATGAGTGGGTCAGGGAACGTTTTGCATATGGTGCCCTTCTATATAAACAAAGCTAAAGTTTTACCTTGACACTCATTTGCATGGGTGGCATTAGCAGGCATCCAAGGACGATTATTAAACATTGGCTCGCATATTTCACAATCATTTCCAGCAGTGTTATGCTCACAATCACAAGTCTCTTGCATGCGAGGTCCAGTACAGTACTGTGCATGCCCATTACAGTTACACCGTCCTGTTATGACAATGTCTGAAATAGCATAATAGTATTTGTTGAGGTTTTCTTCAATTGGAAATAAACTTCCAAGGCCATCAGTAAATGGTTTTTCCAGTCTGATGCGCACATTTGTTGCAAGCATGAAATTCTGGATATCTTGATTAAAGTAACCACATCCTGGTTCGTATCTTGCATCAAACCTGTACTCCACTTTTCCATATCTGGGAGGGTACTGTCCACTATAATCTTCAGTGCACATTGCATTAAATAGACTGTTTTTATCAACAGGAGTTGTTCCAAGCATGTTGTATGACTTAGAACAATCAAAAGCAAAATATTGCAAAACTCTCCATGTTTTTCCAAAGTCTTTGGACTTCTCCAAAAACATCTCAAGTGGCCTTTCATTGTAAAATCTCACTTTTATACCACCAGATATGTGAAACCTTCTGCCAAATGACAGTGTTATGTTAACTTTTAAAGAATCATCCTTTGTGGAGAGGCCTTGCGTATTTGTTTCCCACCAAGTCTGAGACTGCCACCATGTTACTTCTCTGAGTGAATAAGGAGTGTCAAATTCATTGTTAACCATGAATTCTGGTGGATGCCGTTTGGTAGTGCTGTTTGCATCACACTCAAAGCACTGACGTCCTGGCCCTAGCTCACAATATCCACCAGCAGGCTTGCCGCAGGTATTGCTAGAAGTGATGTTTCGCTTAAATGCCATGTTGGTTGGTGCAGCCATGCATGGTCGTGGTATTTTCTTCTGGGAGTCTGCATAGCAGCTACTGAATTGACAGGCAGCATACCCTGTTGATGCACTGGAGAAGAACAAGAAAATTTGAACAAACAGTACAACCGCTGCTTTTAAAGGTTTCATCTTCTGCACAGAAGTAATCTTTGAATGATTCATTTCATCTGAAATCATCCAACTTTGTTTTAAATTGCATAGCTTGCTAATTCCCTCATGAAGTTTAGGGATGTCAGAGATATACTTGTTTCAATATTTCTAGAGTATGCCAGTCTGCAGAGTATGGCAGGTGCACGCGAGAAAAAGCAAATATTCGTTTGGCAAATATGATAACATTCTTATTGAGGTTGATAATTAATTAATGAGTGCTTTGTGTAAACTATATGCATTATTGGCAAGATTTTAAATTCTATGCTAACAATTTGAATTTCACACCAGCTGGAAGGAAAATATTCGCAGTTAAAATTTACAAACTGAGAACGGCTTGAATAAATACAAAACGGCTACGGGCTTTAAGATTTAGATGTATCAATCCACTTTACCCTCATAATCAGTTGCATTCATGTTGACGTAGAAAGCGCTACGCGTAGGTTTTGCACACAGGTACTTGGAAGCCATCCAACAAAACCGGCGGCAAAAATTTGAGCGATCAATTTTGAAATGTTACAGCCTGTGATTGTCTGGTTGGCTCTTGAAGGAACGAAGAATGCCACCCTAGCTAGAAAAAAAAATCAGGAAAGAAGGAGGAACTTTTCTCCGCGCGTATGGGCGTTTCAAAAAGCGACACCTTTTAACATGTTTAATTTTTCCGCCATTTTCACGCAACCGTCACTTTGTGCCGTTGTATATGACCCCCTAAAGATACCGCTGCCCATTTCCCGTCAGTCTCCAAAAAGATCAAAATCAAAATGGCGAACGTACTTTGTGTTTTTAGATCTTCAAGAAATATTTTGAGGAGGCCGGCTTGCTTGTAAGTGTTAAAACATGAGAATTTTAATGGAATACAATGCACTCTATACACTTTTTGCTTAACTTTAGTCCCACCGTGGATTGGTTGAGGTTAAAGGAAAATACGGAGTTTTTTTAGCGCCAAAGGCCTTATGCCCTACTAGGAAATTTGGCAATTTTTTTAAAATTTAAAATTTCGAGGCGGTGTCTAATGGAGAGACTGGGTGAGCCATTACAGGATAGGAAAGTGTAATACCAAAAGGTTGAGTTTGATCGTCCGGGTGAACGTAGTCCTGAATAGGACTGTTGTTGTTGACAGTGACTGACGTTTCGTCAACCTGTGCGGTCGTCATCTTCAGAGTCAAAGTGAGTTGTACCACGTCAGTTGATGGTATTATAGTCTGGTTATTGATCTGATTGGTCAATTATGTCGCGATGTTATTGGTCGTCTGTCAGTTAAGCCGTGATGTTATTGGCTATGAAGACTCGTAATCAGTGATTGGTGCGTTTCGATGCGTCTATTGTCACAGTTAAACAGTCGTCTGTTGTTAGTCAAATTGTCAGTTCTCCAGTTGTCCTCTCGTAGTTAGTTTTGCTTGATCAAACCAGTCTCCTAGAGTATTCAGAAGAGTGGTTGGACTATCAGACTTCAGGTTTTAAGTCCTGTGCACTGACCATTTGGCTATACTAATCCTTAAATGATAAAGGTCTTTTGCTTGTCACTCACAAAGATTGAGGGGGATAGGAGTTACTTGTGATGGGCAATCCAGGACTGTCATTAAGAGCCGGGGACTGGGGATTTCCCCCAGCTACTATGAGTGTGGCCCCCGGCTACTTTTATTGGAAAATAGAAGAAAAATAGAACCAAAAGAAATTCCTTTCTGTTTGATTCCCCACCTTCTTGTTGTATTTACCTGGCGACTTGAAATTTTAGTGACAACCCTGGCAATCTCATACATGTACTCATTTCATTCACTTAAAATTGCTGATCATGGCAGTATACAGAATGTGTACAATACGTGAATTACGTGCTTCTACACCATTTGTCCTGCCTTGGCTTAGTTTGTGAGAGTTCTTATTTATCACTTGAAAGGTATATAATTAAAGTGTGCTTGAATGCTGTTGAAGGATTCTGAGATTTTTTTAGTTTGTTTTTGGACGTAAAATTTGATCAGGCTACGTAGCTTTAAAATGATATTACCAAGAGTAACCAATAATTTTGCTTTTCTGTTTTATTAAAAGTTATTGATGTTTTTCAGAATTCCCAAAAGATATGAACAACACAGTGTAGAAAAAGAACCAATGAAAACAACAGTTAGTTTTATCGCAGACATTAAAGACAAAGATGGCATGAGAAACTATCCACCCTATGTGACTTCCTACAGTTCCCAGGGCTTTAATATTAAAGGTATCAAAGTTTTTGGTTCTGTTGCTCTTCTTCCAACAATATTCTATCACTGGCGGGTAAGTTCTTTTGTGTGTGATATTATCATTAATTTATCCATGATTATTGGCAACAATGCCTGAACAAGCTAATATATGTTGAGAGTTGAGGAACTGATCACCATCAACATCATGACTTGTACATTCAAATATCAAAAGTAGGTTGAGTTTGATCGTCCGGGTGAACGTAGTCCTGAATAGGACTGTTGTTGTTAACAGTGACTGACGTTTCAACAACCTGTGCGGTAGACATCTTCAGAGTCAAAGTGAGTTGTATCACTTCAGTTGATGGTATTATACTCTGGTTATTGATCTGATTGGTCAATTACGTTGCGATGTTATTGGTCGTCTGTCACTTAAGCCGTGATGTTATTGGCTATGAAGACTAGTAATCAGTAACTAACGTGATACAACTCACTTTGACTCTGAAGATGACTACCGCACAGGTTGTCAAAGCGTTAGTCATTGTCAACAACAACAGTCCTATTCAGGGCTGTGTTCACATGGCCGATCAATCTCAACCTACTTTTGAAATGACCCTTGGGTTCAAACCTTTCACACATTGAAATATCCTCCAAATTCACTCTTGCATAGGTTTACATACGTTTCTAATGCATGTACAGGAATAACTAATGTACACTTGCAAAAACTATTTGGTATTTCTTTTAGAGATTCCGTGCTACTGAAGGCCCACATATTAAATAATCATAAGTCACAATCACTTTCATAATTCTTAATGACTGTGCTACATGCAACAATTTCTATTTCAGTGATTATGTTTGCACCTTACTGTTACGAACAATAGTTATCCAGTGTGATTATGTACTAAAACAAGTACAGAAAGTCCCAGTGCTGTACTTCACAAATAATAAATATTTATTTCTCCAATTACCAGCATTTAACCATTTCATCCACTCTTTATTTGATACACAGTACCAAAAACAAGTACATCTGCATCTGAGGGCTATATAATGANGATGGTATTATACTCTGGTTATTGATCTGATTGGTCAATTACGTTGCGATGTTATTGGTCGTCTGTCACTTAAGCCGTGATGTTATTGGCTATGAAGACTAGTAATCAGTAACTAACGTGATACAACTCACTTTGACTCTGAAGATGACTACCGCACAGGTTGTCAAAGCGTTAGTCATTGTCAACAACAACAGTCCTATTCAGGGCTGTGTTCACATGGCCGATCAATCTCAACCTACTTTTGAAATGACCCTTGGGTTCAAACCTTTCACACATTGAAATATCCTCCAAATTCACTCTTGCATAGGTTTACATACGTTTCTAATGCATGTACAGGAATAACTAATGTACACTTGCAAAAACTATTTGGTATTTCTTTTAGAGATTCCGTGCTACTGAACGCCCACATATTAAATAATCATAAGTCACAATCACTTTCATAATTCTTAATGACTGTGCTACATGCAACAATTTCTATTTCAGTGATTATGTTTGCACCTTACTGTTACGAACAATAGTTATCCAGTGTGATTATGTACTAAAACAAGTACAGAAAGTCCCAGTGCTGTACTTCACAAATAATAAATATTTATTTCTCCAATTACCAGCATTTAACCATTTCATCCACTCTTTATTTGATACACAGTACCAAAAACAAGTACATCTGCATCTGAGGGCTATATAATGACGCACTTCACAAAGTAATAACTATGACAGTTAGTATTAGAGATTGCAAGGGTTAGCTTTTATTGAGCAAATGCAACTGCATATTAGCTTGCTGTCATCCACTATCTTACCCATTTCCTTTTGACTAAAATTACACATGTAGGAGGGTCAAATGGGGTGAACATGAGACCTATACAACTTTGGTTACCCTTCCTTAACAAGAGCAACCCCATTTAAATCAATAATAGATCATTTCTAAAGCCAAGGCACTGGGTTCAAATTTACTCCAACCAAAAGGAGATTGAGTATATCTCACTTTCCAGTATCAGAGCAGATGTTGAAACCTGCCCTCCCCAATTAACTCTATTTCTCTTCCACCCTCCCATCCCTGACATTTTACAGGCTTCCTCCCCCTGAGCTTTGTAAGGTTCTGCAATACATGTATTTCTAGTTATATTGTGAATATCATTGGATGTTTCTAATTTTGCTAGTAATGTGATGGCTTGCTTTTTGCATTTCCTTCAAGATAAAGCAAGCTGAGGATATCACCCCAGAAAGTCTTGCGCTTTTTACAATAATGGAACCACCCATAGGTATGTTTGTCATGTTATTAATAAATCCTATGATCAGAAACAGAACTCTAAGGACACTAGCTCTTTGGTACCTGGGACAAATAGATCCTCAGCAGTCCCACTGTGCTACAATCTTGGACAAAAATGTTAAGAAAATGGATGTCGCGATTTCTAGTTTCAAGATAAAGTCTTAAAAGCACCGGCAATTTGAAATACTTCCCCCAAACAATGTTGAAGTCCAACTGGATCATTTCTGCTCCCAACCTGAACAACCTGGAGGGGTTGGGGGGAGGGGTCCTTGTGGTGAAAATCTGTAGGATGGGTCTTCTGTCAGGTAAAAAACTTCAGAGTGTTTAACACTTTTTGTCCAAGATTGCAGCCCCTAGGAGAAGAATTTTGCTGTGTAGACTACCCAGCCAGTTGTCACTGAATGTGGGTAAGCAAGGTGTGCTCTCATTCCAGTCATCACCCTCTCTCTAATAAGCATACAATCTCAAATGCATTTTTTTTCAGTTTGCATCCCTATTGCCTAAGCACCCTCCTTCCAATAAGCATGCCTATACCAATTAGTTCTCCCATTCTTTTTCACTGGTAGAGTACATGTAAATTGAGATCAAGTGGTACATCAAGCCATATAAAGCAAATCATGCAACAATGATCCCTTTGATGGAATTACATTATGTGCGCTGAATCAGACATACAGTACTTGAAAGCTTTGGTCTTGATGAAAGCGACGTGGAAGCTTAAAAAATGAATAGACTGGTGACTTTAAAAATTCCCTACCATTATTTGGTGAATATTTACTGTATCTTTGTTTGACAGTTTCAGTTATTTTCCTTTAAGCAAATGTCAAAGCATTGTCTCGGCACTCAAGTGTTTCCCAAAAAAGAAATAAGTTCCCTGTCCTTAATAAACACCCTGTTTCAAATACATGTAAGTGCCCTCCCTTAAGGTAACATAAGTAAAAGCACCCCATGGGCTAAATTGATCATTATGGTAAACATTATGCGATCCGCAACAAGTATAATGTAGTAAATTAGTGTTGTTGTTTTTATATCTATGTTAGAAATTGTAGTTGTGGGAACAGGAGATAAGTCCTCGCGTCTGGACCCCAAAATACAAAGCTACCTCAGGAAGCACTATATTTCTTTGGAAGTTCAGGATACTGTAAGTGGCTTTCCCTTGATATTCTCTTCACCTGATGTACTGTCCTCTGAAGACATTTTCATCCTGCTCACAATGTTTATTATGTCCATTTGTCCTTCAGGCAAATGCTGCAGCAACCTTCAACTTTCTTCTAGAAGAGAGGCGGTTAGTTGGAGCTGCTCTTATTCCACCTAAGTCAATTGTTGAACATTAAAAATTCTGCTACATGTCTGAAAGATCTTTACTACATGAAGGATTGGAACTCCCATACTTAATAGGATAAGTACTGTAACAGGACAATACTATTAAAGCATGATAAGTTAAAATCTCACAAGGAGATTGCCGTAACACTCTCTCTAAAAGTACACCTCCCTGAAACAAATAGAGTTGGAAATTTTACTTCAGGGATCTTATTTTACATTCTGTAATATGGATGCTTACAAAAAAGTTACCAAAAGCAAAAAAATCCTCAAGACTTATATTTTTCAGAGCCGTTAATACTGATTATACACAGAGGGACTAAAAATAGGCAGAAATGTGCATTTCAAAACTGCAAGAAATTTCTGTCCACAGAAAGTTTTCAGTGTAGCAATTATAAAGTTAAAGCATTAATTTTCTTCAAACAATATAGTCAAAAATGTCATTGAAAATGGAACACTCTACATCCCATAATTAAAGTTCAGATATAGCTGGTTGGAATTCTTGTAAATATTCCTCTACTGAGGTTTGTTCAAGTTTTATCAATTTACTTAAAGTTGTTCATGGTTTTTGAAAATCACCTTCACACCATCCGAGGGGATCGGCAGAAATAAATGAAAGTTTGAAAGGACAACTTATTAAAAGAATGTTTTACTCGACTCTTAAGTTTAGTTAATCTTCAAAACAATGGCTATAACAAAAGCTTGAACCCCTTAACAAGGGTGACCAACATCAATTTTCTCCTGACAATATGACAAAAATATCAATCCATTATCAAGTTTAAAAGTAAGAAAGAATGCTTTAATTTATTGCCAAATTCTCTCAAATATTTCTTTATGGAAAGTATGGAAATCAGTCTTGAGAATTTTGCTATGGATTTTGAGGCTTGTGGGTAGTTTATGGATATCATCTGTACATAAACCAACTAAAATTTATTTTGGAAAATTTTTATGTGGAGACAAGGCATATGATTTTAACAAATAAAAGTTTCAGGCACATAACCTTTTATCCAGTTTTAACACACAACATTGTGAAATCCAGTGCATGTAAGTGAAATGATGCCAAGAAAAGAGGGTCAATAATAGTTTCATACATTTCTGCAGTAAATTTTGTTAATTTCACCCTTCAAATGTTGTAAAACTTTGTTTGGAACCTTAAATTTGTTGATGTTTATTCCTTTCTTCTCCACTTCCCATGCAATGTATGGGGTAAGGGTGGGTCACAGTGACATAAATATTCGTGGAATTTCCTTCAGCACTGGCTATCCTTTACCGCCCTGATCCAGTCAAATAACTCTTTGTTCATACTGTTCTAAAATCCAATTCTATCCCGCAGCTAACAGTTGATTTATTTCCACAACATGTTTTTACATCATTTCCATTTTGGTTTGGTAGATAGAATACTCTCAGTGATACAACAAGTTTTTTTTTTTTTGATGTTGCTCTAGTAGAATCTTCCGTCTTTACTGATTATCAAATCTATGCCGTCAAATTAGAAAGAATAAATGAATTAACAGAAACGGTTTTTCAGTATAGGATTACTAACCTTGTACAGAGTATGAAAAATGCTCGTGGGAAGAGTTGTTTTGTACTTAGATAAAAACGTTATTCAAGAAAAGATTATTTGTAAACCTCCTTCGGTTCTTCATCTGATAAAAAAAATCATCACCCTTTTCCCTTTCAGTCAAAACACTAACCAATGTTTATTTAATCACTTTACAACTAATTAAATATTTTAGATTCTTTAGAATTTCCACTTGACCTTGAAAAGACACTAGGTGCTTGTTACGGCGTTGAAGAATCAACAAACTGTTTTTATTGTTATTGTACGAGTGTTTCTAGTCGTTTAATCCTCTTAGATCAAGGTGATGGAAAGAGTGAAAAAATATAACGTCAAACATACACTTTTTATTTTGTATTTGAGAAAAGGTGAGAGAATTATTTGGTTGGTATTGGCAAATCTCTTCTGGGCGTTTACAGTGTAAGGAAAAGGCGTGGATCTGTTGTTCTTAATTAACCGCGGAACTTTTCCTCTCAGAGAAAAGCCTTGCATTTCGCGGGAACGTCGATGATTGGTTCTTCTCGTATCAAGGACATAACCAACCAATCAAAACAGAGTATGTTTTTCGTAAGTGACGAAATTTAACGATAGGTGACACCGCGTGTCTGTTTCTGGATCAAATGTCGTGAATATCCCCGCTCGCTCGTGCTTCCAACCGCTGATGATAAGAGTATAACACGAGACGGTTTAGCCAGGAGAGCGGTTATCATGGAGCTCTACTGCTGTTCCCGTGCTAAGAGACATTGGAGGCGTTTTTCCTTTCTTTTGAGATTTATAGCTCTGCTTATGTTTCTTGGTACAGCTGATGGTCAAACTCGATCGTGTTACCGAGATAGGGATCGAAAACTTCCCGTACGCTGCATGCCTGAATTTGAAAATGCTGCCTATTCCAAACCAGTTGAATCTAACAATACTTGTGGGATTCCGCCAAGCGAATTTTGCGTGCAAACGGGGGTTACTTCGCCTACAAAGGAGTGTACATTTTGTAATGCCTCGGATCCGCTGCTCCGTCATCCCGCAGATTACATTACGGACATCAAGAACGATCAAAACAGAACGTGGTGGCAATCGGAGACGTTACTTGTCAATAATCCATTCAAACCTGTAACTCTAACGATTGATCTCGGCAAGAGCTATGATGTTTCCTACATCAGAATTCGTTTTCGATCACCGAGGCCTGAATCAATGGCAATTTACAAGCGAACAAGCACTGATCCTAAAGAGCCGTGGACCCCCTATCAATATTTTTCTGATTCGTGTAAGAAAACTTACAACGTGGAACCCATGCAGATCGTTTCCCCAGAAAATCAACAAGTGGCTTTATGCACGGATGAATTCAGCAGTATTTCGCCTCTAACTGGAGGAAATGTTGCTTTCACCACGCTGGAAGGCCGACCAGATAATTTGAACTTTGATAATAGCCCCGCGCTACAAGAATGGGTTACTACGAGCGCAATCCGTATCGATTTGGATAAAATGAATACATTCGGAGACGAAGTATTTGGAGATGCTAATGTTTTACGTAGTTACTACTTTGCTATTATAGATTTAGCTGTCGGTGGACGCTGCAAATGCAATGGTCATGCCGCAAATTGCGAGAAGAAACAGCTTCCAAGTGGTAAGATGGAGCTGCGATGTGTTTGCCAACATAATACAGCGGGTGTTGACTGCCAGGAATGCAAACCACTTTACAACGATCGCCCATGGGCCAGGGCCACCAAGGATAACGCCAATGTGTGTCGCAGTAAGTTCTGAAGTTTTTTTACTCTAGTTACTTATTATTGGGTGTTTTTGTTAATGCATACATTCGTAAATGTTGTTTGAGTTCTCTCTAGCGCGCCATCAGTTCTGTCCCTCCGGGTTGTCAATTTCCTACTGGGCTCTCTTGTAGACGGACGCTATTCACGTGTGTTCAGACAGGCCGATCAATTTTCAAAGGCACTCTAAAAGGTTCATGGAAGTTTTACTCCATAAAAGTATTTGTTTTATGCCTGTTTGACCCATTCCAGGCCAGCTTAGAGCTAAAATAAGGCAAATTGCTGCCTTGAGAAGTTGAACTTGAAGTTCGCCACCGGAAGTTGGTCATTTACCGGTCTTCGTACGTGTTTCGTGACAGGGTGGAGAAACCTCAAAGACACTTTGATCCGCTGGAATGTAGGAATCCAGATTTATGTGTCCATGTTTACTTTTATTTAAATGGATAACTTCGTGTATTTGGAAAAGATAAGCTGATAGTACAATCCTTGGCTTATGAAGCTAGCTATAAGCTTACTAATTTACGGTTGTTGTCATAAATGTGCTCGAAACTGTAAGGAAATACCCCGATTACCTTATCGATTTACGGACTTCTGCGAAAATCAAAGATAAAAATCGGCTATAACGGCTAAAGAAAGTGTTAAATACCTAATATGTGTTTAACTTTATATACAGACACGCACAAGACGGCGTACTTGATTAGCTCCAAGCTAGTCCGTCAGTTTCGGTGTCCATTGTAGAGTAGAAAGATCAGACAAGGTTGACATGATAAATGTATACATCAGGTAGAGTTTGTCGCTTTTCTTTGCTTCTTTGCAATAAAAAGGCTGTTTAAATTGTGAAGGGAAGCTGCGTGTGTGAACCTTTTGATTATTTGATATTTGTGTAGGTAGGGGTTTGTTTAACATATTGTAGAAACCACAAACTGCTTGCAACTTGATACAGGAAGCTACTTCTCCTAGATGATCCTCTTTCAAATCTAGATGATTTGTAAAATCTAACCCCATGGAAAGAAAAAGCCTCCTCATTATTATTTGCACATACTTTATACAAAAAAATTACTAAACCAAAGAGAAAAAGTAGTGATTGGCTTGTGTTTTTTAGCTTGCTTGATTTTTCTCACAGGGTGGCAGATTTTTTTTAAGGTCATACAAAATTTGATTTAAGTGCTGTCTCGGTGGGTCTCATTTTTTTCCTTTTTTTAATCTTTGTCTCTGTCTAGCATTTTTGAAGGTAAGAAAAAACAATGAGTGTCCCCAGAAAAAAACAATGTTAGTCCTATAATTCATAAAGGCTGGCTTCAGTTGAGGATTTTTGCCCTCCCTGTGAGTGATTCACTGTAAAAACAATGAGTGAAAACAATTCTCTTGAAAGTGCACTCATCTTGCCCAACCTAAGACCAAAAATAAGAAGCTTAGAGACTAGAATTTGGAAGAATTTTGGAGTTGGTTTCGGTGCCATTTAGGGCTTGTTTGATTGATGGTGTTTCTGAGTGAAACTCTGTCTGTTTGTATAACTGTTGATAGTCTTCAGTTATAATTTTATTCTTTAATTTGTTGAAGTGAATTTAAGCTGTAGTTACCCACAATGAGTGTTTGTTTGGTTACAGTGCTGCATGAATATACTTTTATACTGCCTGAAAGAAAAGTCTCTTGTGTGGTTAGTGTAAACATTGTTGTGCATTTTTATCAGTTTTCCAGGCTTTGGAAAACTCTCATCAGCATCCGGCACATTAAAAGGTTACCCTCAGAACAATGCTAACCTTTTGTGTTTGGTTTATAATATTAAGAACAACTGTCATAAAAATATTATGAAATCAAGTTTCTCTCTCTAATGCCCAAGTGTGTGTTATCCTTAATTACATTCTTGGTTAACTCTAATGGCAAGCGCCAAATTTTTATAAAGGAGGAAACTATGAACCAGAAGAACCCAAAACTATGATACATCATTTCTGGAGTGTGCTATAAATGATGCCTGAAACAAACATACAAGGCTTCACCGATTAAGACTGGGAGGTGACCAAAACAACAAAAAAACAAAAAATAATGCTTTCAATTTTTTTATAGCTCATATAATTTGCATCTTTCACTACATTAGCTTTTGTAAGATATCATCTTGAGCAGTTAAGTACAAAGGGAAAAGGTTCCAAAGTCGTAAAACTCAATATTGTAGCAGACATAGACTGCAAGTAGTTACACACACCCTATTTTCAGGGTCAGGGTTAGTGAAGGAAACAAAATTTATGAACTCTGTGAAAATTCCCACCCACGTAGAATGGTGACCAAGTCTTATGTGAGAGAGGGAAAGGATTTGTGCCTTAGTTGTGTGGATTTTTCTATTATATTTTCATAATAAACATGGAAATGCTCTATAAATTAATGAATATTCTTTACATTATGATGCCTTATTCTGTCTCAAACATATAGAGTGAACCCTTATCCACGTTAAGGTAATACTCCTGCTTATATCACTTAAAGGATGTACCTGGAAAAAAATCCGCAGTGATGTCTGATAAACTACTATTATTCTCTTCTAATTTGGCTTGGGTATGCGTTTTAATCAAAGGGAGAACTTGATGTTACTTCAGGAGTCATTTGGTACATTCCTTTACTTGCAGATTATTTTCCCGTTCGTGCTTGTTTCACAAAGTAGTTCAATCAGATCCACTTGAACCTAAGCAGTTTTGAACCTAAAAACTCAGGCAGTACTACAGCTGTGTTGTAACTTAATGTAATAAGCTGTTGAATCTTGATATTGCATAATCCAAGAAAACACATGCAATTTCTTGAAGGTACAGTGTGTATGACTTTACATTGCTGTTCACTTGATTATTAGAATGCAGCTCATTTCTTAAAACAGGGAGCAATTCCTTTTGCAATTTATTTTAATTTTTGGAATTTGTATGTTTTTCTCATCATGTTCCCTTGAAGTGTTAAAACAACAGTAATTTTAATTAACTCCAGAAACATTAAATAGAAAACTCTGTGGGAATCAGACAGGAATGTTTATATGATATTTATAATTGGTTTACATAACAAAAATGATTATATATACAAGGTAATATACAATTTTGTGTTTGAAAAAATTCCTGATTGAATTAATAACCTTGCTGATGTAAAGCAGCCTAGACAAAAGAGATTAATTTTAGTAGTCTAGCTTTATTTCATGACTGTAAAGCTGATTTAGCAAATATGTTAAGAGACTGGTGTTAAAATATGAAGCAAATTAATTCATGTACAATCATCTGCATAGTGCAAGTAAATGTACTCTAATTTTAAGCTTTCCATCACTGCTTTAGCTTTTTGAATTTCTTCTGACATACCTTTCATCATATTAATTAAAAACACCTTATTACTGTCTATAGCCTTAGAAGTAGAAGTGTTATGCCTTGTCCTACATTTTTGTGTTTTGGTTGAAGCCAAGCATGACCTTTCATATTTTTACAATATTCAGCAACAACAACAAATTTATTTTACATCAAAATAGATTACAAGGAATAATAAAAATGAAAAGGAAAAAGGAAATATTTGACTTATCCACAGTTAGCTTTAATAACCTAATTGAGGCCGGAGATGAAGTGGAGAAGAAAGAAAAAATAGACGTAATAATGATATGTAGAGAACAAAAATTGAAGTTTAAATTGATACCCTGCACACAATAGATTTACAAAAAATGGCTTATGACCTGATGCCCAAAACAAGAAAAGGTGCATAATTACACTCTATTATCAGGGAAATATGCCCTTAGTGTTACCCATTCCAATGCTAATTATCCATAAACCACTCCAAAAAGGTGCCAAAGGGTTAAGGTTAAAGAAAGTGGTGCTAATATGTAAATCAAAGTCAAGAATCTTAACTTGTAGCGGACCTAAACTGCTGAGTCAATTGTCTCCAGCAGTTATGTATATTTATAATAATTAAATTTTAATTTAGTAAATATCTGGTTTTTAATTTTTTTTTGTCAGAATGTGACTGCAACAATCTAGCTGACAGCTGTGTGTATGATGAACAGCTTGGACATGGACGATGCCTCAACTGCAAGAGAAACACTGCTGGGCCAAAATGTGAACGTTGCCGTGACAACTTTTTCCGTCGGACACCTTCAGATGACTGTCAGCCATGTAACTGTAATGAGGTTGGTTCTGCCTCGTTACAGTGTAATTCTACAGGGCAGTGTGTGTGCAAGCCAGGTGTCACTGGTGTCAAATGTGACAAGTGCCAGGCGGATAACTTTGGATTTTCGCAGACTGGTTGTCGGTAAGTCACTAAAGACGTGAATTTTTCTTGCAGCTCAGTTGTAGAGCTGTATTGCTAACCTCCTCTGCTAACAGACAGGTTTCATATAGGTCGTCTTGAATAATTCTTGAAAAAGTTTTGAAATTTGCAGATCCGTTTTCCTTTTCATATCTATTTCCATGCACAGACTAATGATCATTCTGGTTGCTGGTTGTCCAAGAGGCATTATCTGGCCATTTGGGTATCCATGCTCATCCAGTGAATGAATAGTGATTTTCGCAATTAGATGTGGAGGAGCTCTAAGGTGCAATAATTAAGGCAGATATCCCACCTAAGACAAACATTCATTCATCTGATACATTCTTTATAAAAATGCTGGTGTAAGTACGTGGTTAACTGATTAAATTTCTACCCTGATCACCATAGAGCCTCCTTATTGCTCAGTCAACTTAGAGCATCCAGACTAGAACAGGGAGGGTTGTGAGTTTGAATTTTTTCTGAGCTTTCTGGTGTTAGCATTCTCCTCCTTCCAAATTCTTGTGTTTGACTAATAAGGCAGTCTCGAACAGAACATTTTCAGCTGCTCCACCAGAAGAAGCTCGGTCCACACAACAATTTTGCAGAGATTGTTGTGGCATACCTTATTATAGGAAATTAACGCTCCATGAAATTAAGGTATTGGAAATTAACGCGACTTAAATTAACGCGAATTTAATGGAAAACGACTTTCGAATAAAGAAAATTTTCGCGAAAGAGGCGGAGAATTTCATAATAAAGAAAATTAACGCGATTAAGACACAGTTGGTGGCCGAAATCAAAGGAGAAGATATTGACATCACTTCTGACAGAGACAATGATGAAGATGAACTCGAAATATTGTAAACCTTCACCTTAGCTTTTGTGTAAGTTGAAAAATAAAGGGTAAATGGAAAGAAAGAAAGCTTGTGGTTAATGTTTTTTTAGGTGTCAAGAATGTCTGGACAGGTTCCAAAATTGGGGTTAAAATACTGGAAATTAAGAGCGCAGAAATTAACGCTGCACTTAATTAACGTGGCGGAAATTAACGCGACTTAAATTAACACGAATTTTAACAATTCGCATTAATTTCATAGAGCGTTAATTTCCTATAATAAGGTAAATCCACAAAGTTGACAAGATTCCTCCATATCAGCAGTTTCTTTGAGTATCTTGATCTAGCAAGAGACGTCATGTTTCTTCCTTTTATCTGTTCATTTTCTTCAAGGTTATTTATAGTGAGTGATACAGTTTTTCAAACTCAAGGACATGAGATCTTCCAGTCTTCTAAGCTGCTTTGAATCATTTTATTCAGCTGATCGATGGGGATTCCACATATCCCATATATTCCATGTATTGTTTGAACCTACATCTGTGTCACAATTTTGTCACACCAAAAAGTGCCTGATTGTTGACCTTAAAAGTATTTTTCCTTTGTTGTTTAGGCCCTGCCAGTGTTCCCCTGAAGGAAGTGACCCTAGTAACACACAGTGCAATGAAAAGGGCGAGTGTTCATGCAAAAGGAATGTCATTGGTGCCAAGTGTTCTCAGTGTAATACTGGCTTCTATGGCTTGGAAAGCTCGAACCCACATGGTTGCAAACAGTGTTTCTGTTACGGACACACTGGCATTTGTAAAGTAGCTAATGGTTATACTGGACGCAACATTTCTAATCAATTCACGTCAGGCTTAGAGGGCTGGATGGTTGTGAATGAACAAGGTACATTTTGCTCTCTTTTCTGTTAAACCTGTTGTTTTCAGAAATACAATCTAAGACTAAGTAGCCAGGTGAATAGGTACATGGAGGAAGCATCAACAAGTGTTATTAATTTTTGTGAAACTAATGATGAATAGGACTATTTTATAATAGGCAAGAACTATATGTTTTAACATGTTTTTTAAAGCTCTTAATTTTTTTGAAAATGAAGAGTAGTGATTCACAGCAGTTACAAAGCAACATTAGTATCTTATGAACTTGTTTTAGTTCTCTGAACTGGTTTTGTCTGATCACACAGACTTCATCAGAGAGTATACTTTCTTCAAGAGTAAATTAAAACATTTCAGAAACCCTTTTTTTGTCTAGTGGCACTTCTCAGTTTAGATCATGTGAGGAAATGACTTCCACCTTGGCCCAGTTATGTAAAAATTGTATGGTGTTTCCCTCTGAATAGAGATTTATCCAGGAGAAAGTGCCATGTCCACTCTTTGAGCAACTGGGCTTCATTTTTGAATGTCACACATTAAAGTTCTACAGTTGTAGTGTAGTGTAACACAATGCAGGACCCCAAAAAGTCCTGTCTGGTAGTTCGGGACAAGCAGATTTTCTAGCTGGGCGAGTAACAAAAGTCCAGCCAAGTCATCTTACAACAAAATCATTAACTAAGACGGGTAAGAAGTGGCCAAGAAATTTGTACAATCTGCTTGCCCAATAGCCTCCCACACAGACGTTCTTAGGGGTTCGTTACGCTTTCCTGTCCCAAAGGACAAGCTGGAGTCAGGTTTTTTTTCCCCAAGCCCTTCAATGCCTTGGTAACCTCGATGAACAGTAGAAGTTGTAGCAGTTTTTTGCCTTTACCCCTAATGTTTACTCCATTTGACTTAAGTTAATACAAGCTTGCTTTTATGAACTAGGTACAGATGTTACTGAACAGTATGCCATTCACAGCCAAGAGGACTCACATGTCAGTGTGACAGCTGTTGGAAGTGAGGTCCTTTACATGTCTGCACCGGCTTTATTCCTGGGAAATGTTCGTAGCAGTTATGGCCAGCTTTTTGGTTTCTCATTCCGTGTTGCATCCACTCAGGGAGTACAAGTTGAACCTGGTGATATCATTCTAGAGGGTCAAGACGGTCTGAAAGTCTCGGCAAGACTCAATGCACAGGGCAACCCTGTCCCCACAACCTCTTTCCAAAGCTATGTCTTCAGGCTTCACGAGGATCCATCTTTGGGATGGGAACCCATGCTTAGAGGATTTGATTTTCAAAAACTTCTCTCAAACCTGAAGGCCATCAAAATACGCATGAACTTTGCACCCCAGGGGACTGGATTAATTGACAGTGTATTTCTTGAGTCGGCAATTTACGATCCTACGTCACCTCTAAGTGTTCCTTGGGTTGAAGAGTGCAGCTGCCCAGCACCTTACACTGGTGATCATTGTGAACAATGTAGTGACGGTTATACAAGACAAAAAGGTGCTCCAGATAAATATGGCCAGTAAGTTGAACGGACAAAAATAATTTGTCTTTTAGAGTAGCCACGTGCCCATTTTTCTCAACTTACTCACTTTTAACAGCAGCCTCACCAAAGCCAAAAGCCAAGGAAGATCCCAAAATGTCATGTGATATGATTGATACTAAAAAACGCAACACAAACGCTTTAACTTTGACGAGAAAATGTTATTACGCACATGTAGTTCCTTCAAGATAATTTTGGGATCTTCTTAGTTTTGGTGTGTAAAGTGTAGATCAGCATAGTGCTATCTGCTGGTGTCTATAAATTTACTTTAATTGATTTAAAATAAATAATCATGAAAAGCTGTGTGTTTTAAAAGAAACGAAGAAGAAGAAGACCATTTATCCTGTCATTTATTCTCAGTATGAATGCCTTTCTTGTTAAGTGGTGGTTTTTGGTTTCAATTCTATAGGTGTATTCCTTGTCAGTGTTATGGACATTCCGACACTTGTGATCCTGTGACTGGCAAGTGTGTCTGCCAAGACAACACCACAGGCGATAACTGTGAAAGATGCATAGATGGCTTCTATGGAAACCCTACAGAGGGTACTAAAGATGACTGTAAGCCTTGCCCATGCCACTTTGCATCACGCTGTATTCTGATTGGTGAGAAGGTTGTTTGTACCGACTGCCCCGAAGGTCATGTTGGTGATCTGTGCGAAGAGTGTGACGATGGTTACCATGGTGACCCAACAGGGCTGCTTGGAGATCCGACCACCTGTCAGAAATGTAATTGCAGTGGTAATATAGATGTGAATGCAATAGGGAACTGTAATCCACTTACTGGGGATTGTCTAAAGTGCATTTATAACACCAGGAATGGACCACTGGAAAGATGTGAACTGTGTGCAGTCGGATTCTATGGAAATGCTACTGACTATCCTAAACCACAGTGTGTTGGTATGTGAATTGATATACAGTAGTAGAAGAAGCTTTCACCATTTTGATGTACGTTATCAACTAACAGTTTCTTGTGTAAATGGTCACACCATAAGATTTCATCGATTAACTCACATCTACAAAAAACTACAAATTCTGCTCTAAAGTTGACTTAAACAGCAAAGAAGCTTCTTGATAGACGATGGTTAGGACTATTTTACTTTCGAATAGCCGTGAACTCTTCCGCCATTTTCTTGAATTCACTGCTGCTAAAAGAGCGAGGCTGCCACGTAGCTACTTGGAAAAGAGGCTGCGATCGCATCTTCCAAATTTGGTCTCTTGTTATGGGGGATTAAAGCAATCAGAAACAGTGAAATCTGTAGATTGAATAATAACAGAGGTTATTTATCAATTACAGAAAGTTTCTGAAAACCCCGGTTGGAAGGAAAATGGAACACGACTTTTTGAGTCGTTTCAGCGGAAAATTTCCGGGAGAGAACAAGGTAGTGCGGTTAATTTCCCAAACGGAAATTCGTGTTCCATTTCTTCAAAGCCATCTTTGTTACCCGTTTTTATGTTTTAGGCCTTCGGAGCCGTTTTTCAGTAAAAGGAACTGATTTGTACAAATGGTAAAGGCGATTCCGGAACGAAAAAAATTTACCCCGGTCCTGCTTAGTTCCGGGGGTACTCAACAAATGTCTATAGGGAAGGCTCCGCCACAAGGTCCAACCCCTTAGCTTTTTATATACCATTTTTCACGAAAAAGGTCGTATACCTTCTATTGACAAATGGAACCCCTTTCACATACCTTGTTTAGAACTTTGCATCCCTTTTAACAGCTGTAAATGCACTGTCTTTTAAATAGGAATCAATCACAAAATAGAATGTTTTTTCGACTTCATAAAGCCATAAAATTCATCTGTTTGGGCCCTTTCACAGACCCAAATGACAGATTTCCCTACCCTTTTATATACCTCAGCTAGTAAAATACCTACCCTTTCATTTACCAGAAGCCTGAAAAAGATACCTGGGGGTACTCAACAAATGTCTATAGGGAAGGCTCCGCCACAAGGTCCAACCCCTTAGCTTTTTATATACCATTTTTCACGAAAAAGGTCGTATACCTTCTATTGACAAATGGTACCCCTTTCACATACCTTGTTTAGAACTTTGCATCCCTTTTAACAGCTGTTAATGCACTGTCTTTTAAATAGGAATCAATCACAAAATAGAATGTTTTTTCGACTTCATAAAACCATAAAATTCATCTGGTTGGGCCCTTTCACAGACCCAAATGACAGATTTCCCTACCCTTTTATATACCTCAGCTAGTAAAATACCTACCCTTTCATTTACCAGAAGCCTGAAAAAGATACCCCTTTCGGGCGAAGCCTCCCTGCATAGGCCATCATAGGAAGTACCCTCCCCCCCCGGGGGAGGGGGCTTAGTTACCATTTACCCAAACCGTGAGCCGACCGGTTTGCCCATGTAAATGGTAAACAACCACCTCATTGTGTTTGTGTGTGTGTGTGGTTTTTTCTTTTAGCTTGTGACTGCTTCAGTCAAGGTACAGTGGTGCCGCCTGGTCATAGTCCAGCCGATCCACTTCCATGTGATGACGAAGGCAAGTGTACTTGTTTGAGAAATGTTATCGGAGACAAATGTGACAGCTGTAGAGACACATACTGGAATGTTGGCTCCGGGTTTGGCTGCGAGGAATGCATGTGCGACCCTACTGGCTCACTAAACAACAGCTGTGATGTCACAACTGGCCAGTGTCCGTGTAAGCCTGGGGTAACCGGAAGGACGTGCGATCAATGTCAGGCTGATCATTACAGCTTTTCTTCCCAAGGATGTTTACGTGAGTTTCTTCTCCTTTTTTCCTCAGATTTTACAGGGTGTGAAAGGTATTCTCGGAATCCGGTATTTGATTTGACTTGATTCAGGAAAACTCCAAATTTCTTCACGGGATATGGATATATGGATGATGGAAAAAAGACGCAAAAATGAGAACCCGAAAAAATTCGAGCCCGCAAAAAATTAGTAACACCCGTAATTCAAATTTCAACTTCATGTTAAAAGCATCACAATTTCCTGGGGTTTCCTACGGTGCAAATGCGCGATTCACTGGAGATATTAAATTCAGTTGTACACAGACTGCACGCATGTAACTAAAGGTCTAATATTTTTGCTGCTTGTCTTTCCCTTTTAGCCTGCGATTGTAATCCACAAGGTTCTCTTAATGAGAGCTGTAATGAGTTTGGCGTGTGTAATTGCAAACCTGGCGTCTTGGGGATCAAGTGTGATTCGTGCATGGAAAACAAGCACAATTTGTCCGTGGGTTGTGTGAGTAAGTTATCACCAAGTGCCGGTTAGCTGACAGCTCACTGATGAAAGATTGTTTTGAACACTTTGTTAGCGCGGTAAATACTTATTGTCTAGGAAGAGCAAAACGATTTTGTACGGTACTATCTTGTCCTGCAAATGACTTAACCTTCGCTTGCCTCGGATGTCATTACCGCGTAGAAATTAAAGCAGTGTCATTGAGAAATACCTCGTGCTAAATTTCCTAACGCGTGAAATAAAGGAGTCTTTTCTTGGTCGCAGTAATCCCTTTCTCACGGAAAACCCTTTTTACGCGCACGCCTAAGATTGGTACATTTGACATGAGTTACAGTGTTGCGACTTTGTCCTTGGTAGAAAATATAACTGGCAGTTAACGACACATGATTTTAATCTGCGCTTATCAAAAGGAAGGGCGGATTTCAAAACACAGTGTTGTGCTAAGAGCTTGCGTGATGGACCCCCGGAAGGGAAGGGAAAAGGATAGCCTTTCGAGTACTTGAAGGGCGTGCGCGCGAGGGAGGAGCGAGAAGACAGCCCCAGCATAACCATTGCTTGGCGATCTGCTCTTCTTTCTCGTGCGCTGTTCGCGTAATCGCGCGGTTAATTTTTATCTTTCCCCCGCATTCGAGCGTTTTGCGGAGACTAAATGTTGTTACTTTTGCGTTCTGTTGCAAATTTTCTTTTAATCTAGTGCAGGCAACCTGGTCGCTATGATAGCGTTGCAAAAGACTTTTTGAACCAATCTACAAACCTTTCAGAAAATTACGACTGTTTATTGATTACTTTAATGTTTTTCATCTCCTCCATAGCATGTCCTCCGTGTTACAACGATATCAAAACATTAGTGACCCGCATGCGTACAAACATCCGTAAACTCGTCAGGTTTATCCAGCACTTCAACTTGAATTCTACCGGCGCACTAGTAGTGGACCTAGACTTTGAAGCGCAGCTAAGGGAATTAACATCGGCAGTCAACAGCCTTTTGGACAAAGCAGAAACATCCAATTTAACAGACCGCCATCTGCAGCAGCAACTAGAGATATTAGACAGGCGAGTGGGTGCAATAACCGAGGTGTTATCTGATGTGAAAAACGGCACTGACTTGACGGAAGCTGTTATGGTCAGTGCAATTGGAGACATTTCCGATGCCGAGGAATCGATCAATCGTTCTCGAACACTTCTTGACGAGGCCGAGAAGCTGTTAGTTGAGGAGGGAGTTGCCGCTCTTAATGAGTCCATACACGCTGCCAACAGGTCAAGTGAACATGCCTCAAGAATGGAGGAAATACTTAATGAGGTACTTTTGAAGTTACTGTTTATTTTTTCGCAGAACAGGGCTCAAAATAACGGCCGGTCACAGGACAATTTCCGGCCAAAATGGCGTCTTGCCGTCAGTTCTTTTTAGTCTAAGACACCATTAGCACCAATACTGAGAGAAGAAAACCGCTTAAAACAACAGGGACAAACTCTGGGTGTCTGTTCTATGAAGGGCCATTAAGATTTGGAGTTAACTGTGTCCATATAAATTTGTATTGATCTCTCTAGACAAGTGCTCTGGCGGACAAACAGGAAAAAGACGCTAACTTTATCTCCGAAAAGGCAAGCGAAACTCTCAACAAGTCCACAGAAGCTTTGAGTTCCACGAAGAAGGCAGTGAATGAACAGCAAAAGACAAGTGATGGTATAGAAGAGTTGCTTAAAAAACTGAATAGAACCATCGCATTGTATGAACAGGCAGCAAATGCTACTAAAAAGTCACGTGATGATTCCCAGAGTGCATTGGATGAAGCAAATGAACTTTACAAGAATGGAACTGCTCCTATTCCAGACCTCGGATTGCTGGAAATGCAAGGTGATGCGATGGTAATTTAAAATGTCGGGTGCTGTAAAGAAACCAAAGTGTAGTGAAATTAGATACGGAGAAAAATTTATGACTGCCTTGTAAGGGAAATTCTTTATAGAGGTTGGCAACCGGAGCATTTTTAAACATGAGTGACTTATAAACGTTAACTCTTAAGAGTCGCTTCTAATAGGGAGCGAGTAATGTAAATTACATGAAAACTTAGACGTGTTAAACTTTATTTGATTTCCTTTTCCATGTAGCAAACTTGGCCTTTATTCTCTCTTGTGCGGTATTCTTCTTTATTTTTAAAAAAAGCTGCCTGGCGTTACTTTTGTTGAATTCTGCAGTAAAACTAAACGTACATGTTATTACTTTTTAGCAAAACTTAACACATCAAAAGAAGCAGTGGCCTACGCATCCGAGAATGCTCAGCAGATTCTCGATGCGCTGGAAGCTTTAGTCCAGAGCTTCAACAGAAAAGAAGATGAAGTGAGGAGAAAAATGGCTGAATGGCCAGGCCTGATTAGAAGACTCGAAGACCTGTTGACGAATGTTACCAGTGCTAATAGTACTGCACATGACGCTATCGCGCGAGGAGAGGACACGTTAAAAAAGGCCAAAGATATGTTGGACAGGCTTAGGGTAACAATCGTGTTTTTTGCTCTTTGACGCTTCTGCTACGTAAGGCAGGAATTTAATATTAGAGGCAAGGATTGGTACATAGAGGATTTTACATGGACGTGCGGAGATACGAAATTTCTCTTCGAGTGTTGAAATATTTTCAACACGAGAAGAGAAATTTCGTATGTCCAAGCGGCCATGTAATGTTCTCTTTATTATATAAACACCAATGGAATACAAAACCATTTCAGTTAAATTTTTTTTCCTGCGAAAGGCGCGATTTATTATGTAGCCATAGCAACGGTGATCTTTTCACATGTGAAGATATCATGTTTTTGCGCGAAAGCTCACCTGGTATTTAATTGGTGTTTGGTGTTATTGAGCGGTCTTCTGCGCGAGAGGTCTCGAGTCCGAGTGCGAGTTGAGATATCAAATCCTCTTTTCTAGTTCTTTCTTTTCCGTGTAATTTAAGTAGCTTGAAATACCCGTAAAATGAGCGCACCTTCGGCGTCATGTTTGTTAGTCAGATGACTATTTTAAACTACCGACGTAGAATATGGAAGCTTTATCTTTACCTTGTAAATGAAAAAATGAGAATATCGCTATCGCATGTTAACGAAAGTAGTTGTGCACGCTATAATATTACAATCAACTAGCGGTATACATAACTAGCCTTATAATCTAGAGTATTCCCCTGACTGGTCTCTAAATTTAGGTTTCTGTGCTTCATAACTTCTCTGTTTTTAGAGAGTGGATGCAGAACGAAATTAAATGTCAAATAAATGTCGCAAAATAATCAACAAATCCGATTATTCGCTCACGTATTTAAATGAATTTATGACCGGCACTAAATTGGAGGGGTATTTGTCAGCTGATGTGTAGAAGACGAGACTGATTTTCACGGATCTGCTGAAGTCAAATATTTTTCATACCGCTTATACCCCACCCCGGTTTATCAGCTTCTTTAAACATCAGACTGTAATCTGTATGCCTGCATGGGTTTTCCCTTTGTTCTTCTTTCACTTTTTTTTCATTTCTTTTCTCCCTGTCCTTCTAACTGAAACTTAATATTTCTTGGATCTTATTTTCCAGAAATTTAACGAGATCATCGACAGTTCCAGAGCCGAAGCAGAACGCGCTGAGGCGAATATACCAGAGATTGAACGGCTTATTAACTCAGCAAACAACAAATCAGATGAAGCTAATGGTCACCTGAGTGATGCTCAAGATCGAGCTGATGATGCGCAGTCCAACGCTAAACTGGCTTATGACACGGCTAATAGAACTCAACAGGTAAGCTTGTCCACGACCGGCTGATAATAGACCTTTTCTCGGTTTTGGAAGCCATCTTGACGAGTAGGCAACCGCGTGAGAAACTACAGTGTTTGTATGGGAATCTAGAATTGAATGATTCCCGTAAAACGGCTGTTCTGAAAAAAAAAAATGAACTGTGAACTTAAGCTACACAGCAAGGGATTTTACTAACAAATTTTGGGGACCGTACACTAATTGTGCCTAAATTTCTCCAGACTCTTGCTTTAGATTTTCCATATATTTGTCTGCAATTTTTCCCGGCAAATTTTAGTCGGCAGGAAGAGAAATCTTTACAGACAATGTATGGAAAATTTTAAAAAGTGGTTTTAGCACATGTAGCTGCATGTAACGCCCTGAAATTTTTTCGGTATTATCGTTAGCAGTGAAGCTTTAGTTTACAATTCATCTTTTTTAAAGAACAGCCGTTTTACGGAAATTATTTGACATTAAATTGTCATACAAACTCTGTAATTTCTCACACGGTTGCCTAGTCGTCAAGATGGCTTCCAAAACCGTGACAAGGTTCAGGTGCTGGCCTCTTGCTGAATTTTAGTGTTCTCTGTATTCTCGGTTGTGACTTTCATCCCTAGGGATGAAAAACGAGCTCCCCTAAAAACGCCTGCGTGGGAGGCTAGTTCGCCGCCTACCAGTCGGGATTCTTAACCATGTTATGTTCCATTGAATAATTTATTTCATTATCCCTGTAGAGCCCCGGTTATAAGGGGAGAGGATAATCAAGTTTTTATTACTCTTATTATCATTTATTTTTAAACAGAAAGCTGAAATAATCAAAAACGAAGCTTTAGAACTTGAGATCCCTCAAGACAACGTGACGGAGCCGGTGTCAAAAGCAAATGATAAGTTAACAGAGTATAAGAAGAGTGCCAATGAACAAAGCCAGAGCATCGCGTCCGCTCTAAATACGACCAAGGTGGCCGGTTCTGCAGCTAAGAAAGCGCGAGATAAAATTAAAGAGGTTCTTGACAAGCTGTTGGCGCTGCTGAAAGAGATTGACAATGTGGGAACAGTGAATACCACCAGGCTTGATGAACTGGAAAATCAGCTCTTCAACAGAACGAAAACGATCAACGAAGTCGACGAAGAAGTGGGGTCAGTGGAGAAAACACGAGTAGTGATAAGGGAAAAGATTAAAGAGTACACTATCGATCTAGAGAAACTACGAGCCGCTAAAAACGTATTGGAGAAGAGGTACGCCCAGCTTCCAAAGGTGTGCCCACGAGTCACCCCTACTACTGAACAGCGGAGATTTCTTTAGGCTTCATGTGTTCAGGTTCCATGTATTTAGCCCTGAAATCTGACCTTCCAGTAGTAACGGCCGTTTCAGGGGCTAAACAGAAAAGTCCGCTATTGTGTAATTTCTATACATTTAACGCATTTCAGATTGGTTTTACTGCTTAAAGACTCTGTACTGCAAATATGATGCTGCAAACAGTTGTCACTTGCAATGCCATGCAATATTTAGTGAATAAACGCCAGTTTGTCCAAGACACGGACGCTTGGCAAACAAAACGACGCTTCAAAGACAACGGTAAAATTTGACAATAATCTTCAAGGCAATGACCTTCACCCTCACCCTTTGCATTCACCAACAGGCCGAGAAAGGGTACATTTATTCTAAAACCCTCGAATTCTTCAATGCCGTAGAGGAATGATTAAAGAGCTTTAGATTTGAGAACGAGATAGAGTACGAGTAGGAGATTTAACTTGAAGTTTTGCTTTTTATTTGTTCTCCAAAAAAAAGCCACCCCGGGAAGCTTCATTTTACCTTTCTTCACCAAAAAAGTTAGTACGGTTATTTATACTGAAAGAGGTTTAAGCGCTCTCCTCATAGAAAAATGATAAAAGGTCTTACATTTGATAACTTGTTCCCGCCACTACGACATGCTCGCTGAAACTCGCAGTGGAATGATGATGGCTATCACTTTTTCCCGTCAAAATGACGCTGGTTCACACGTGAGCAATATTCAGTATTGAGAAAATCTCGTACTCGTAGTCGTACTCGTCCTGGGAATTCAGTAATATTTTGTGGGTTGAGTATGTCATTGCATTGGAAGAGAGTTTTCAACAAATCCCACCGTTAGCCTCTTTGATTAAATATTTAGCATTGTTATTATATTATTAAAATTAAGATCACGTATCCCATATTTATTTAAAACGGATTTTGTTTTTGCGGATTAGACTTGAGTCCACACGTATCCGATAAAAATTGTCCTCTAAAACGCTCTCCAGAGTGGGCATATGTTAAACGTTGTTTTCCCGTAGTTGTGGATGGATGAAAACGGAAATTTTAAAAATGGGCTCCTGGCTACGTAACACAAGCATTAAATTGCCTGGCGAAGCAACATGGCCGAGCAAACATTGATTTGTATAGGCTGCTAATACAGCCGTGTCTCCATGCTCCTCGCCGCAAGAGATGTCTGCGATTCGGCTAGCCTGCGTAGCAAGCGTTTCTGTTTGGTTTCGAAGCAAAGAAAGACTTCGGTTTTGGCCGCGCGAGAAATGAAACCAGAGCCAAAAAATGAAAAAGGGGGGAGGGGAAGGAGGAAGGAAGGTCTCCTTTCCTCCCCATCTCCTCCCCGATCTTTTTCTTGCGCCACTTTTCGCGCGGTCTTTTACTCTGGTTCCTCGTTCTTTGCTCGTAAACCGCACGGAAACGCTTGCTATGCAGGCTACGATTCGGCCCCAAAAATTCCATTCTGTTGACGTACATTTGTTCGGAATCTGGTCAACGAGCGCTGATTGGTCGACGCGCGAAACGTTCCTGGCGACGAAGTGCGAGGACAGACGGCTGTATTCGCTGGCTATGATTTGAGAGGGAGAATTTCAGATGTATTCAAGGCCAGTCCGTGTAAACTGAAACGAATACGCGTGGACGGGCGAAAATGACTCGAAAACGATACGATACGTGTGGACACGATTTTTTTTGGAAACAACAAACGGGAAAAATTCCTTTATGCAATTAAAAAAACGGGATATTTGTAAACGGGCCTGAGACTTCATAATACAAAAAGATTTAAACGTTTACTGTATATTATGGAGAAACGCTGCTTGAAAGCAAACAATTCATTATCAGTGCTTAAATTTGTAATACTATTCACAGTACCTTGAGAAGAATTCAATATTACTTGCAAACATTTTGAAATATTTTTGTACGATAGTCGGCTTATTTTGATGCTTTTTATATACCTTTTTTGCCTACCATATTTATTGGCTTACATTAAGCAGTTTTGTATGAGGATCTTAAAACTTACAGGGTGGAGGTTACACAGGACCCGCTTTGTTTGAGTTATTTTTGGAGTATGTATGTTAAATAATAATTGAGATACTCTTACGCCTTTATTAAATCGTTAACACTTCCCGCAACTAAGGCTCAATGAAGAAGACATCATTTTCATTCGGAACGACCTTTTCTCGGAGAGTTCAAGGTTGGCCTGACACTGGTTGGTTTGTTTGTTTCTCATAACAAACCAAATAGATAGGAGAAGTCGTCACCTCACGTTGCCATGGTAGCGAAATTTCTGGATGACAACAAATCAAAAACGTCACTTGTGAATTCGCACTGTTTCAAACTTCATCGATCTTATTCAGTTTCATTCAATTTGTTTAAATGTCGACGGAATTCTCTGGGGTTGAATCCGAAACCACCTTATGTGAGTTCAGAAAAAGAAAATTTTTGTGCTGTGTTCATCAACTCCATAGAGTGGGCGCGTGAAATTAGCAAGTTGCATGTCGCATTCTTGCAACGACTGCTAAGAAATGTACAAAAAAAAGGGTGATTTGCCGTTCTCGTTGTTGTCTTTTGTCGTCCTTGCTTAAGCTTTCTATTGTTGTGATGCACAAATTTTTGCTACCATGGTAACGTGACGTCACACTTCCCCTCTCAATTCTGCCTTCCTGTCTCGTTCCTGTTTAAGTCCCCGTATACTCCTCCATTCAGCAGTTCCGTTGCCACGTAGTTGAATTGTCGGTAAATCAATGCAGCGAAGCCAACTTTCTTCACTAGCGCACAACTGCCCTTTGCGTGTCAGCTGGGGACGAGACAACCCTACTTGTAGCAGTTTAAGCTAGTTTACAGTTTTACTTTGACTACTTTCAATTGCTGCAAAGAATAGTGATATTGTGCTGTTAAACTCTATTTTTTGAAAATACCGTGGAAGGCTGTTAACACAGTTATTACATAGGCATAACCACAGATGGAGAATATGAGGCCATTGCCGCTTTCAGCCTGTTCTTCAAACCGAGCCCTGTAGGGGTGTCTCTATCCACAGGCTACCCACGCAGATGCTCGCGTGATGTCATAACGTTTTTCGCTTGCATTGCAATTTTCCTTTTACTCTATCTGAAAGCTATTTTACATGAGAATGGAAACAGTCACACAACCACTGCCAGAGCAGAGAGCGTAAGTAGAGATGAAAAATTATTGAAGGCGCGCTCGTCATTACGATACAAATAAAAAATAAATAAATAACATGGGGTCTTTAACAACCAGGCGGCTACAAAATTAACGATTTTCAAGGGCTCGGGGAAAAAACGCTAGAAATTACAAGCTCAAGTCGTAAAAACTGGCCGCCAAAGTGGCATGTCTGGAATTTACCCAAGTCTGCAACTCTTAACCCTTTAGGAACTGTGCAATAATTATCAGAAGGTACGGTGAGGCTGAAATATGATGCTTTGTAGTCTGCCCCTGCCAACAAAGCCAAACTTAGCTCTGGTCCCCCGCCTTCTGATCACTTAAGAGTTATGAGTCGTCCAGTGAATCGCTGGATTGCAGCTTAGAGTCATCACCGTCACTAATTTCGATTTGATGATACATAGTGTCAGTTCATCAACCATGCCCAGGGGGCAGATCCAGTAAGGTGTTCCTTTCGGCTGAGCAGAGGCTGATCATGAGAATGTCTTATACATTACAGTCGAACCTCTCTAATACGGACACCGAAGGGACAGAGCGAAGTGTCCGTATTAGAGAGGTGTCCGTATAAAAGAGGTCATTATGATGACGTCACTTTTTTGACTCCACTTACAGTTTTGAGTGTTCAGTAGCTGAAACCAGGCTTACACTCGCCTTTAAACTGCATTTAAGTCTATTAATTCACAGTACAAGAACACTTTCAGTAGCAGACAACATTGTACATATCAGCTACATACGTACATTCGTAGAAAAATCACTGTTTTAAGATGAAACGAGCTACAGCGCAATGCTGCATGTAAAAAGTTTTAACGTCAAGCACAATTCTGAAAGTGTCTTTCGCTATTTTGCAAGTGCAGTTAACAGTAACTGGAGTACAAAATGTAATAGAAAAGATCTATATGCTATCTGTAGTTATTCAAGCCTTTATAAAGGCGGTTATGTTCATCTGTACACATTTTGCAAATTAATTGTTTGGTATACAGCGACTGGGCTTTTGAAGCCACCTTCCATAGCTCATCAGCCAGACTAGACGGGATTTACTCTGTGCAGATTCACCTGATCGCCGGCTGTCCGTAATAGAGAGGTTACGTTTATGTGAATTTACTCTCTGGGGCCGAGATTTAGTGTCCGTTGTCCGTATTAGAGAGAGTCCGTATTATAGAGGGTTTTTTTTAAGAAAATATATGAGAATGTTGTCGGGACATTGAAAACTGTCCGTAATATAGAGGTGTCCGTCTTAGAGAGGTGTCCTTACCGAGAGGTTCGACTGTACTTTATTTTGTGTGTATTTCCTGTAAAGGAGACACTTTCTCGGTTAGTTACTTTTGTCTCATAAAGGGACATCTCCTTCTTGAGATCCTGGATCCACACCTGTTGTAACCTGAGAAAACAGCCGACATTTGGCGACGCTACCACTGGTTTGCCAGCGAAATGACGTTTGAGAAACGAGCGCAGAAATTCCATACTGATGACGCTTCACTACCCAGATCTGGGTAGTGCTTCTGATTGATTGAAGTAGATTTTCCACACGGCACGACCAATCAGAAGCACTACCAAGATCTGGGTAGGGACGTTAAATAGGGACGTGTTATCAGTATGTAATTTCTGCGCTCGTTTTCCAGACGTCTTTTGGTGGGGAAACCATTTGTAGCGTCGCCAAATGTCGGCTGTTTTCTCGGGCCACACCTGTTGTGTTAACAAAAATGTCAAGTGACCAGAATTTTTCATGGTTTTGGTACTTTTTACTGCTACTTCTGTGTTATATTTTTCTTCACCACAGAAAGAGAAAAGAACTCCTTTAAAGTTTTTTCTTGTTTCTGCTGAAGGAAGTTTCCTGAAATGACGCCATATATTAAGAGCCAATCTCAGGCGACCCAGCTCCTCAATTTCTCTGCCTCAGATCGGGAAATGGGCAGAAAAAAACATTTCCAAAGTAATTTTTGTGGGTGAAATCTGTATAAAAAACATTGTTGGGGTAGATATAATGTTCAGTAAACGACATTTTTTTTTCAAAAAAGCTTGGTCAAGTGGTACAAACTGACATTTGCCGTCCAAATCTCTCCTATGTCTACACGAAGGGAAATATCCTTGGCTTAAGACCTCATCAGGCATTTCTGTGGAAAAAGGCACCAGCTAGGAGGCATTTTTTGGTGTTATTGTTCGTATATCATAGAACAAGAGATCAAACGAGCAAAGGATAGAGAAGGGGGCGTGAGAAAGAGGGCAGAGACTGCCTTTTTCCCTTCGCCCCCACTCCTATCGTTTTCTTGTTTGGCCTCTGTTTAGCTTTCGCGCGAGTTTGTCTATTGTTTTACAAACCACAAACGAAATGAAAACCAGAGCCATTTACTCAAGTAGTGGATAGATAAAATACAGCGATTTGTAAGCCGTCCGTTAAATCCTTGACTTGGGTGTGGCCACAGAAGCGGAAAGTGGTAAAGATCCCATGAGAAAAATTCGTGAGAAAGGTGTAACAATAGTCATGCTAAGAACAAAATTCATTCCCCAATCCCCGATGGGGCTGGCCTTAAAAACAACGGTAGTGCACTCTGTAACAAGGTCATGAAACACGCTCGTTTGTGACACGCCTCTTGCAATATTGCTAAAGTCAATGATGTCCAGAGCATGACTGTTTATAATACCTGGGTGCCACAGAGTCAAGTCTTTATAGTCTTTATAGTGACCTCTTCGGCACTCGTGCCCTGAAACTTCGGGGTTAACCTCGGTGTAAGAACCTGAGAACTTCTTCTTTGTTTCCAACCTTGTTTTTCTAGGTTCTATTGACTTCTTAGTTTTACGTCACTCGTGAGTGTAACAGGTTCTTACCCCGAGGATGAGCCGAACTTCGGCCGAAGATTTGTCGGCTTGCGGACCGACAACGAAGTAGTCCGCCACACGCACTAGAGAAAAACGATAAATTTTAGTACTGTCACAAGTATGGGCAAAAAACTGTTGGAGTTTTACCTTCACTTCATTAACCCCTTTAAGACCCCAGATTGACCAACAGCAATTTAATCCTAAAAATATTAAATCAAAAACAAGAGGAAAGGTTATAAGAATTCATATAGTGATCACCCAAGAGAAAATGCTTTAATCTTTTCTCAAATTCTCTGAACTAATTCATTTAGGAGATTTAGGAGACAAGTCTGGAGGATTTGTATGTGGATATTGAGGCTTTTAAACGGTTAAGATATCAAAACCAAAAACCGAAGCCGGTAAGCGACTTAGACACTTCAAAAGATATCAGACAAGCCCATAACATTGTTTATTGTGGTACAAATTCTCAAAGTACATGATTGATTTCAGGGTAAAGTAAAACTTGATAGAAGGCAATTCACTTTCTTGTAATTGTGTTTGAACAAAAAGAAACAGATTTATGAGGTCTGCCAGCCATCTATTAACTAAACCCCTGGAACAGTCGGCATTTAATCTGTGTGCTGGAAACAGATGACGTAACACAAAAGAACAAAAACTATGAAACAATACCAAACAAAGTGGTATTTTGTTTTACGTCATGTGTCTCCAGGTGATTACTCCTGAAGCCTGAGCTCCTGTGAAGTTATTAATAATGTGAGGGTCCTGTATTTTTGTCCAGTTTGTGATATTTGTTACTCCTTTTAGTTTAACTTTTGTAACTGTAACGTGTTGTAGAAGTGAATGACTATTGAAAGAAAAAAGTGAGAGCGCAAAAAAGGTTTATGACAAAAGGATGCTATGGAATTTTAAGTTGTACAAAATCAACATTTTACACTCAACAATACACAGTTAGGCATAACAATGTTTCAGTAAACAATGTGGGATA